CCACCCACCCTTTGCTGGCCCCTGAAATGTGTGTTCAGGTGCCCCCCCAGTCACTCTCAGAGTTCTTCAGGTGCACCCTGAAGGCCCAAGTGGCCTTCAGGGTGCACCAGGAGCCCAATAACAGCTGGCCTAGCCCTGAGGGCCCCAGCCATGGGGCAGCCAAAGCAGAGAGCTCCCCTTCACGCACACAAACCCCTCCCCCATCGCCTTCACACAGTTCCTCCCCTGCCACTCACTATAGGGGAGAAGGAAACTTTCCCCACTCCCTCTAGAGGGGACAGGTACAGTATGCCCCATTCCCTGCCTCGCTGAGCCAGCTAGTCCCTGTCACAAGGCACTGTCAACACCTGCCACCTCTCATGCTGGGGGCCGGAGCAAAGGAACCAGAGGGCTAATGAACCATGGGGTGGGGAGACCACTGCATTGCTCTGGGCCCAGGAGGCACAGGGGCATGATGGGAAGGGCCCGGCATTTCTGACCCTGCCCATCCTGTGTGGCCGTGGGAATGGAAACTTGGAGAGATTCCATACTCTCCTATGGTCACTGTCAGGCCTGTACTGGATGAGATCCCAGCCCAGTCTGTGGCCTATTCCCACCCTCACTGAGCGCTCTGCCCTTTGCCTGCAGGTATGCCAGCCTGTACTTCTGCTGTGCCATTGAGGGCCAGGACAACGAGCTAATCACGCTGGAGCTGATCCACCGCTACGTGGAGCTGCTGGACAAGTACTTCGGCAGCGTAAGTCCGGCCCCCCCATGGGTCTGGCACTGGGGCATGGTGCACACAGCTACACCAGGGTGGGCATGGGTCCCTGGAGATGGGCAGCAGGCCTTGCTAACCCTTTGCGAGGGGCCTGGGTGACCCTGGGACTGGCTCTGGCACTCAGGCCCAGGGCCCCATGGGTGGATGGGCACATCAGCTCCACTGCGAGGGCGGGTGCTGGTTTGTGGTGGCAAATCCCAGCTAATCCCTCACACATTAATTATGCCTCCTTAATCCCCCGGGCAGGCTCCGGGCACCCTGCCCACTGAACTGCTGGGGATAGAAATGTTAATTGGGCTTAGTGGGACCCAGTCTAATCCGGCTATTTCCCTGTCAGAGAGCCACAGGCAACTCCGGGGTCCTCTCTGCATCCTGGACAGGTCCTAGATGGAGCCTCAGGGCATCTGCAACTCCCCAGTGGTCAGGTCTCTCCCTCTCTGGGATGTAGCATGGGCAGTCCTACCTAGCCCCTGAGCCATGCCAAGCCGGAATGAGCCCTGTTTTCTGGCTTGCTCTCTGACACCCTTCCCCAGTCCAGCCAGTACAGGGGTGCTAGCTTCCTCTGAAGCTCAGCTACACTGCACATCTTCCCACCTTGCACCTCTCCATCCTTTGCCATGGACAGGCGGGGAACCTTCCACCCTGGGGCATGGATCACTAGGCATCAGTCTGCCAAGGACCGGCTTCACCCTTCATCTGGCTTGGCTGTAATCAGTCCTTTCAGTGGCTTGTTCAGCCCACTCTGGCGACACGGTCACGCCAACAGGAGCCCGCCACACCATGTCGATCAATGCTGCCAGTTGTGTGGGTGTGACTCGTGTCGCTCCTGGCTATGCCGATTCCCCCTTCCTCCCCATGAGCAGCGTAAATTACACCAACTTCAGCGCCAGCATAGACTGACATCAGCATAGAACCTCCTTGGTGCACACGCTGCACTGGCACAGCTGTACTAGCAGTCCTTGTTCCCCACTGGAGATGGGGGAAACTGAGGCACACATTGGCCACAGACAAAAATATCCCCACTTTGTCACCTTTCTCCCCCCTTCCAGCTATCTGAACCCCTCCCTCGGAGAGGGGAGCACAGTCCAGGCAGGGCCTGGGAGTCAGGACTCCTGGGTTCTCTCCTTGACTCCCAGGAGTCCTGATACTCCTTCGATCCCCCCAGGTGTGCGAGCTAGACATCATCTTCAACTTCGAGAAGGCCTACTTCATTCTGGACGAGTTCCTCATGGGCGGGGAGATCCAGGACACTTCCAAGAAGAGCGTGCTGAAAGCTATCGAGCAGGCCGACCTCCTGCAGGAGGTAGAGGGGGCTGGGCCTCTACTGGGAAGTGACTTGATACCCCCCCTCAGTTGGAGCACAGCCAGTTGCCGCTGGGTTCTTACCATCAGGGCTGGGTGTGGTCTGGTATGTCAGACTCCCAGGTTGTAGCCACGCTTGTCCTATACGGTTCCAAGGGGAACCCACTCCACTGGACAGCCTCTTCTCAGGGGGTCCACTTTCTCTTGCAGTCCCCTCCGCCTCCTGGGAGCGCCTCTCTGAGCCCCCAGCACACCTGTCTCTGCCCTGGGCCCCTCGAGGAGTCCCCAGGGCCTCCACTCCCTGAGGGACTAGTGCAGCCCTGTTCTCAGACCAGAGCGACTCTCCGCCAGCATCACACAGGAGGGTTCATTGAGCACTGAACCCAGCACAGGAACTCTCAGGCCTGCAGGCCTGGGCCCCCTCAGCCCAGCACGTCTGAGTCTCCCCTGCAGCCAGGTGGGCTCTGCCTGCTCCCCCTGCCCAGGCCAGCAGCCCCCTCCTTCCAGCCCAGCCCTCATATCTCTCCCCAGCAGCCCCTCCCCTGACCTCTGTCTCCTGTTCAGGTAACCAGGGTTGCCTGGGCCTTCCTCTCCTCTCCTCTCCTCTCCTCTCCTCTCCTCTCCTCTCCTCTCCTCCGTCCTTTGTGTCCCCCCCCGCCTCCGCCTGGTTGGGACTAGCTGGGCAGGTCATTGGTCCTCTCTCCGCAGCCCATTGGCCTCCCCCTGGCCAGACCCAGATGTGCCATCCCAGTTGAGTCTCCTGGTCACCAGTCACTGGGGTCTCCATTCTCCAGAGCACTGGCCAGGGTCCCCAGTTCTGTTCTGGTCCCCTCCCCTCATTAAACCAGCAACACCCATGGACACTGAGTGCCCCCCCCCCCAGCAGACAACCCTTTCGAATCCCCCACTTCATCACAACTGGTTCTGCTTGTAGCTGCAGAATTCCCTTTCCTCTGCGAGCAGCAGGATGGCGCTCTGTCCAGAGACAAGAAAGAACCCGCACTGGTGCTCCCAGAGATGGGAAAGGGATGTGAGCCCCCCAGTTCCTCAAACAGCGCTCTCATGTCCCCATTCTAACACTGGGCACCCATTGTCACACCCCTATCTTGCCCCCCTACCCAGATCATGCCCTCAACTCCTCCAAGCAGCAGGCACCCTGATCTCCTCATCCTCCCATGTCTTTAGCCCTGGCTGTGTCGCAGCGCGGGGAAGAAGCCCGGGGCCCTCAACCCCCACTGCAGTTGCCGTCTCATTGCCTGGGCTGTGGTGCAGGGCGATGAGTCACCGAGCTCTGCAGCTCTCTTCTCCACTCAGCGTGGGTGAGCGGGCTCCCAGCAGAAAGCAGCCAATTCTTGCTTGCTTCCCAGCCCCGCAAACCCATTGACTGCCCTCCCAGTGCCAAAGGGGTTTGCGTGAGGCCTGGGCGGGGGGCATTGGCTCCCTCCTCTGTCCACAGGAAGAGTTGTGCTGGTTAATGTTGGGGATGGCAGGAGATGCCCCCCCCACCTCTGAACATTCCCAGGGTCCGTTGGCGAGGGAGGCGCACACAATGGAGCTAGACCTGGGGGGACTAGCTGGGCCCAGCTCCAGGGTCAGAGGCTTGGCTCAGGATAATGGAGACAGGCTGGTGAGGCTCAGTCCAGCCTGGTTATGGGGGGCACTGAGTTGTTGGTGTGTCTGGGTCTTGGCTTTCTCTCCCACCCTCTAACCCCCCCCCCACTATCTCTCTGCTGCAGGAGGATGAGTCACCTCGCAGCGTGCTGGAGGAGATGGGGCTGGCATAGCCAGCGGTTCACTGCGCCCCCTCCATCCTGTCCCCAGAGAGACTCTCGGATGCCGCAGGGGCTGCATCGCCACCTCCCTCGCCCCAGCAGCCAGATGTTGGACCAATTTGTCCTGGAGCTGCTAGGGAGTGAGCTCCAAGAACTATGTGTGTGTGTGTGTGTGTGTGTGTGTGTGTGTATATATATATATACATACACATACACACACACCACGAAGGGCGCTGGGGAGCCCTCTCCCTGGCCCATTTTCTCTGCTCCTGGCCTTCTCCTGCCCTGCCCATGTTGCTAGGACTCCTCGCCGGAGCAGGGAGCATGGGCGGCGGGATGGAGTTGTGTGTTGTCAAGGGGGTCCCTGCACCAGGATCCTGCCCTTGGCGCCGCAGCAGTGTACCCCCCATGGAGGGGTGGATACCAGGGATTCCATTTCCCTCAAATCTCTAACTCCAACAGCGTCTCTGTGAATAGGTGTGGGCCCCGGGTGTTCAGGGTGTGGGGGAGCACGCGTGCCCCCCTGGGAACTGGGGTCCTCTCTTTGGAATAAAGTGCATGTGAAGAACTCAGCCTTGTGGGGAGAGTTTTGTACGGAGAGGAGGAGGTTCTAGCTAACTCTTATGGGTCTGTCCGCACCCCTGTCTCCCCCACCCCAGCCTGACCGCCCTTTTCTTGCCTCATCCCCTGAGGGAGATGGTCCTGGTTGGCTGGCAGTTTGTCCATCCGTCCCCACTGTGTCTCTTGCACAGTGCTGCCCGGCTCTGAAGCTGGGGTCTGTGTTTAGGAGCGATCTCCAGGGTCTGTCCCCTCCATGTCCCACTCCAGGGGATAGGCTGGCTACCTGAGGGACATCCTGGGGTGTCAGGACGGCACCTCAGTGTGGACCTATCTGGAAGGGGAGAAAATCTACCCATTCCTGCAACTGCTCTGTGGAGCTCTGATCAGACCTGAATTCTGCCAGTATTGTTTCTGACTGCCAAATAGGAGATACACACACACACACACCCCAGGGCTGTGCCATAGAGGCTGAGTGGGGCTTCCAGACCTCCCTGCTCTAACCCACCAGCTCCCCTCCCCGAGCCGGGGAGAGCAGTGGTTCCCATCTTTTCTTACACTATGGACTGGCAAACCCATTCACAAATTTTTAGTGGACTGGCATCATTTTATTTGCAAATTTGCATATTCATTATACAAATAACAAATATGCAAATAAAACATTTCCTGTCTGCCTAGCCATAACCCAGCCCCTTGCTCCCTAGTGCCTGACACCCTTTGATCCCAACCCCTACACCCTGTGCCCTTTGACCTTTTAACCTCTGATCCCTACAGCCCTTGACAACACCCTCATGCCCTATGACTCCACCCCAACCCTGCACTCCCCAGAGTGAGGCTGCCCCCTCAAAGGAGCGTGGCCATTACTGCTGTGCGGACAGGGCACTCCCTCCTCCGTGCCCCCTCCCTTCCCAAGCAGGTCCATCTCCCTCTCCAATCAGCGGAAAGAGTTCCATAGAGTTGGATTCCCTGTCTTGCCACAAACTTCCTGAGTGTCCTCTGGCAAGTCACTTAGGGTCAAATTTTCACAAGTGACTGAGGCACTTAGGAGCCTCCAACTTACTGACTCTCAGTGACTCACACTCCTCCGTCACCTCTGTGCTTGTGACCATGTGTCCCTCTGCGCTAGAGGCAGGGTGGGAGGGTGGAACCTCAGACGAGCTGTCATCTTACCTGGGGAGGCACCTCCTGCTCCTACTGCCACCTCAAGCTCAGTGCCGCCACCAGGCAAAATTGGCCGCTCAGGCTGGGGAGTGGCCATTGACAGCGCACACCTCCCTCCCCAAGCATGACCCCCTCCCCATGGAGAGAGCGTAAAGCCCTGGCTGGGCCACCATCTGGGGAGGCAGGATGGAGGTGCCTCCTGCTTCACCTTCTCCTGCCACTGCCACTGCCTCAGCCCCAGTGCCTCCGGCGGGCAAAATCTCAGGCAGCCACTGCAGCCTGGCAGCCAGCGGTTCACAGGTCCGCAGACCAACAGTTGGCAACGGCAAGAGTAGAGGACCTAGGAGTCCTGTCTCCTAGCCCCCTGTTCTAACCCACAAGCCTCCACTCCCCTCCGAGAGCCAGGGACAAAACCTAGAGTCCTGTCTCCCAGCCCCCTGCTCTACCCACAAGCCTCCACTCCCCTCCGAGAGCCAGGGACAAAACCTAGAGTCCTGTCTCCCAGCCCCCTGCTCTACCCACAAGCCTCCACTCCCCTCCAAGAGCTGAGGAGAGAACCCAGAGTCCTGGTTGCCATCCCACTCTAACCCCTGTGCCAGTTCTGCATTTAACTGCCCTTCCAAACACCCCTTTATGTATGTTTGGGTTGGGGACAGAGTTTGATGTGGATAATTCTCCCCACCTCTGACCCTTCGGTGAAACTGTTGCTATTTAACTCCACTTGTGTCCTGGCAGCAGGAGTGCCAACACTCCCTGCCATTCGCAGCCTTGTACCGCCTCCTCCAAGAGCCGGCCCTGCCCCTGTCAGAGTCTGCTACCTGGAGAGCATGGCCAGGCCCAGCTCCCAGGTCCGGAACTCAGGGCTCCTGCTTTGACACAGCCCCTCTGTGTGACAAGAACTTAAGAACAGCCAGACTGAGTCAGACCAAAGGTCCATCTAACCCAGTGACCTGTCTGCCCACAGAACAGAACAGGGAAACATCAAGTGATCCCTCTCTGTCCCACCATCCCTGCCCAGCCTGGCTAATAGCCATTGATAGACTTAACCTCCATGGTCTGATTTGGTGCTTTTTTGGACCATGTTAAATAGTCTTGGCCTTCACAGCATCCCCTGGCAAGGAGTTCCACAGGCTGACTGTATGTCATATGCAGATATACTGCCTTTGGTTTGTTTAAAATCTGCTGCCTATTAATTTCATTGGGTGACCCCTAGTTTTTGTGTTCTGAGAAGGTGTAAATAACACTCCCTTATTCACTTTTTCCACATCCATCGTGATTTTATAGACCTCTCTCATATTCCCCCTTGGTCATCTCTGTTCCAAGCTGAAAAGATCCAGCTTCATTAAAACCTCTCCTCGTACAATAGCCATTGTAGACCCCCATCATATGTTTCCGTTCTCTGAGGGTATGTCTACACTGCTATTGCGTTCTTTCAACAGAAAGTCGAAAGAACAGAGGGGTTTTTCCGACAGCGGTAAACCTCTTTCTACGAGGAAGAAACCTTTTTTGGAAAAAACTTTTTTGGAAAAAGGCATGTGTGCAGCCGGAAGAGTGGTTTTTTTTAAAGAAGAGGCCTCTAGAAAAGAGCACAGGTGCTCTGGTGGCCACTCCGTCCACAGTAATCACAACTGAAATGCGAGATAGCGTCCAATCAACGTGGACACTATCTTTCGAAAAAGCAGATCGCTTTTTCATTGCGCTTTTGCTGTGTAGATGTGCTCTTTCGAAAAAAGTTTTTCTCTGAAAGAAGCCTACAGTCTAGATGTAACCTGAATCTTCTTCAGTTCCAATAGATTTTTTTTTTGAGCTGGGGAGACCACAACTGCACGCAGCATTCAAGGTGTGGGCACACCACAGATGTATGTAGAGGCAATATGACATTTTCTGCCTTATTCTCTATGCCATTGCTAACGATTCACAACATTTTGTTTGCTTTTTTGGCTGCTGCTCCTGTACACTGAGCAAATGTTTTCCCCTTGGGTGAATCACAGCATCTCTCCAGGCCTCAGTTTCCCCTATGTGTGAACTGGGAGAATTGGTCTTTTTACATGGTGAGCTCTCTGGGGCAGAGCTCTCACTCATTTTGTCTGTATCTTTCCCAGCACAAGCAGGGGGAGCCCTGAGCTCAGTCTTGGGAGGTCTGAGCAGTGTCCAGACCAACGAGGGACTGGGGGTGATGAGCCAAGATAATGCCGCTAGACACTCACACACAGTGGGGTGAAATTCAGACCATGCCGTAGCTAGACAAGAAGGTGCTGGCTGCTGCACTATGGGAGAGACTGGTCCGGAGGGCAAATGACTCTGTGCCAGTAAGATAAAAGTTCTCAGTGGGCCCATGAGTCTGCTCTGGGGGGAAGGGTGATGGGATCTGGGCTGAACAGGCCACTGAGGGATGGGGGTGGGAGGAAACTGGGCTGGATGGGCTCATTGAGCTAATCTGAGGGGTGGGTGGGGGCCAATGTGTCTCTCAATTTTTCCACACACGCAGAATAAATTTTGCTATGTGCTCCGAGTTGTGCAGATGTGCACCACCAATAGAAACATATGCTGCCAGATATGGGTGCACTGTTAAATAGCTGAGCAACAGTTGCATTTCTCCTGGGTAGCTGCCCAAGCGCTCAGCTTACAGGAAACTCTGGTGAGGGAAGTGGGACCATTGGGCTGACTTGAGAGGCTGATGAAGCAGTCAAATCCAGTCTAGATACATCCATTAGACTAACCCAAGAGGTGGGTGGGGGAAATGAGATCTGGGCTAGATGGGACCATTGGGCTGACCTGCAGGGAGGTTGCAGGCAGTGGTATTTGGGACCCTCGGGCTGATCTGAAAAATTGGTGGGAGAAGTTGACCTAGGCTATCTACACCCGTTGGGTGGGATGGAGGATGTCAGCCTAGATGGCAATCAGTTTTGGGGGGGGGGTGAAAGTAAGGCAAGTCCTCAGCTGGACATGCCCACTGGCCTAGGATTCCCAGTGTTTCCTAGGGAACCCCAGCACCATCTGTAAATAATGAGAATAACTCATAATAAAATAGTTGCTTTTATTTCTTAGCAAAACTAGTAATTCCACGTGCTATTTACAACAGGCCAAACATGTTTTATTAAGTACAACAGAGAGGTCAGGACATCAAAACAAACAGCACAGGACTGGGAACCGGACACCACAAAGCCAAGAATCTCACACTCAGAAAGTGGATGCAGGTGGAAATACACTCGCAAACGCCCTTAGTACAAAACCCATCCCCAACCCACCCACTCCCCCTCCTCCCCATCAACATTAGCCTCTTTGTAGTCAGCCTCAGGTTAGAACTGATCAGTTGGTTGACTGGAAATGCTGGTGGTTTCCTTAGGTCATGGATTCCAGTCTTTGGATGGTGGTGAATTCACAGCAAGAGACAGCATGGCAGCATGCCTGGTGTGGGTAGGGTGGCATGTTTTGGGGGGCGTAACACTGGCAAAGTCACAATATTTAACCTCAAGCTCAGGTGTCGGTTGATGGAAGAAATAACCCATGATAAGGCAGTTTGGTATGGAATATCTCGCTCTGTTCTCCCCTCATTCCCTCTCCAGAGGATGCCCAGTGGGCAAGGCTTACCCTTGGGATAACAGGAAGGGTCAGTGTGGAATTTTACAAGAGAAAGCGTGTGCTAGTGACAGATCTAGGCACATACACATGTTCTGGCATTCTTACCATTGTTAAGGGTTCTGGCCTTTTGACAACTAGGAAAACTTCAGCTCCTCAGCTGGGGTCAATTGACAAGCCCCCATATGATGCAAGATGACATCTCTCAGGAAAAAAAAGACAGCTTGCCCACCAGGTATGAGCTGGGTGCCTGCACTCTGCCTTTGCTGTGTAGGAGTTCAGACAGGGTGGCCACAATGGTCCTTCTGGCATCAAAACCTGTTTGAAGCTCCTGTCCTATGCTCAGATTGGCTCTCCGGAAGTCAAGTTGCCAGTTCTTTGACATGAACAGAGCTGTGCTAATTTTACCCACCCATGGGGCTGCCTCTCCCTCTCCCCCGCTCCCTGCCCCAGCCCAGATGAGAGATCCCCAGGACTCTCTCTGGCTTGCTCCTACCGAGAGAGGGTCCTGGTGGATGGCAAGGTTAGAGACAATTCAGTCTGCTCTGTTTTCAGTGACCTGGGCTAGATATTTTGGACTCCCAGGCTGCTGTGTGGGGATTTAATCCGAGTTGAGTGAGGGAGCTGCCACCTCTTGCCCTACTGATAGCTTTGATGATGTTCTTGATGTCCAAAGGAGGAGAGGAGGGACTGGGGTCACTGACTTTGGTGCCAGAGAGTTAACAACAAATGGGGCTTTGCCTGGAGCCGTGGTGGGGGACTAGGAGAAGAGACAAGATTGGGTTCTCCTTGGGCTTCCTGTCACCTGCTCTGGGCGGCTCCTGGAAGGTAAAGGTGGGGGGAACATGTTCCCAATGACTATGTCTTCCACAAACCATGGTGAAGCTCCACTGACATTCCCCCATTTTCTTCATGCGCAAGAGCTGGGAGAATCATGGGGAACCAGCAATCCTAAAGTTTGGGGATGGAGAGACCAGGGTGGCCTCTGCCTTTGCATGGGGCGGTTTGCGGGGATGGAGCGGGAGTGTGTTCTCCTGACTCATGCAGAACTGGAAATGCTCGGGATACTCAGGATGGCCACATTTCCCCATGGAGGGGGGCACGCCAGTTTGGATGTTCACTGGAATGCCTGCGAGTGGTCCAGCAGCACCTGCTCAATGTAATTCTCCATCTCCTCCTCTCGGCTGTCGGCGGCCTCGTCTCTTGGCACCAGAGGACCCGGCAGGTGGCGGCCATGGTGGTAAGCCGGTGGCGGGAAAGCCCTGGGCTGGATGTGGTTGGAGACGTCGTTCTGCTTGGCCAGATACTGCTTGGGACCGGGGCGCTCATCCCTGCGCAGCACCTCATTCCAGTCCCGCTCATCCGGCTTCGGGCGGCGCCAAGGAGTGTAGGGCTGGGGCGGGCTGTAGCGGGGTGCCGCCGCCGCCTCCTTCTTCTTCTTCTCCACGTCGCTGATGATGTCGACGACGTCCTCGGCCGGCAGGTGCAGCTTGGTGGAGAGCTCGATCAGTTGGTCGATAGTGCTCGGGTCGATGACATCGTCCTCGTCGGAGCGCTTGTCCTCTGCCACGTTGCTCTCCTCGTCCTCGAAGAGCAAGGGGCTCCCCTTGGCCCTGCTGCCTCGGAAACCCCTCTCTTCTTCCTCCTCTTCCTCTTCCTCCTCGCGGGCATCGGGCCCTGGCTCGCCCTCCTCGTCCCGGCCCTTCAGCAGGTACTGCAGCAGCAGGTCAGAGGCCATGTCCGCCAGCCGCTCCTCCTCGGCAGCTGCCTTGCGGGCCTCCTCGGCCTGCCGCCGGCTCTCGGCCAGCTCCTCGTAGCGCCGCTGCAAGAGCTGGTGCTCCAGGTTCTGCTGCTGCCTCAGCTTCCTAGCGCCAGCCCAGGGCTCGGCCGGTGGGGCCCGGCGCTTGGTGCTGGCCCGCAGCCGCTCATACTCCTCCAGCTCCTTCAGCACCGTCTCATGGCCAGAGTCCCCTGGGGCGCGCTCACGCTTGACCGCGGGGCTGTAGGGCCGCAGCTCGCGCAGCAGGGCCTGCAGGCTCTCCAGCTCCTGCCGGCTGCTCTCCCCCTCTTCCTTCTCCACCCAGCCTGCCCCCAGGCTGGCGCTCCGGCTCTGGCTCTGCACGCGCTCCTCATCAGGGGCCCAGCGCTTGTCGGGAGAGTCGTGACCCCCGTCGCCCAGGGCCTGCAGCAGCACTGCAGCCAAGGCCTTGGGATCCACATCATGGAAGAGCTCCTCGTCTTCCTCTTCCTTGGCATCGCCGCCGTCCCGGCTGGGCGAGGGCTGGGCTCTTGCCCACACCTCCTTAGCGGGGGGCGCAGGGCTGGGCTTGCGGGGCTCCTCAGGGTGGGCAGCCTCTCCTGGGGGCAGGGGCGCAGCCTGGAGGTGGCACTGGGTCAGGAGGCTGATGGAGAGGAGCAGGGCGGCTCCGCGCAAGGGGGCGTGAGAGCCCAGCATGACTCTCCTGCAGGGGGACAGAGAAGGGAGTCAGGGTCAGAGGGTACCCAGCAATGTACCCCAGCCAGAGGTGCGGGGGAGTGGACATGCACATGCAGGGGAGGAAGGGATGGATGGACAGACCTTGTAGAGGGAGGGGGTGGGGACAGACAGACACACACACACACTTGTATGTGTGCACATGGGTGGCTCAGCTTTGCCTACCGAGAGACGGGCGTGCGCTACCCAGCTAGCTGAGCTGCCACCTCCTCCCTGCTGACAGACCATGTCGCCCCCCCCCCCCCCCCGGCTATCCCTGCAGCCACGCCTCTCACTGGTCATTGCTAGCACAGGGGCGTGCAATTGCCAGGGGATTGTGAGTACTCACAAACAACACCTATCACTCGGGGCACGTGCCCATTCACGCAATAGTCCATGCGCACCCAGCTGCACACCCAAGGCCTCTCACTAGGGGGCTCGTGAGCGCACACAGATGCACACGCAGGGTCTTTCCCTGAAGCCGGGCACGTGCGCGGGCAGCAGCCCAGCGTCTCCGTCGCGCACCCCTGCAATGCCTCACGCTAACACATCTGCACACCCTGCACCTCTCACGGGGGCGGGGAGGAGGGACGTGCCCACCCACACGCGATCGCTGACGCTCACACAATCACACTCCTGTATTTCCACCCACACCCTCATCAGCCTGCAAGGTTGATTTCCGGCTCGCCCAGCCCCCACCCTACCAAAGCTGGAGACTGACGGTGCGAGGTTGCGAAGCAGAAATGGGGTGCAGGCAGTTAAAGGTGGGGTGCAAAAGGGAGGGGCAGGGGTGGGGGATACAGAGGTGGGAGAGGCAGAGGGTTAGGGGTGGAGGGGCAGAAGGGAGGGAGCAGGGCGGGGAATGCAGAGGGGGGGGGCAGATAGTTGGGCTGCCCCTCTCTCTCCGCCCTGCCTCCTGTCCGCTTTCCTCCCCCTCTCCCCCGCAGTCTTCCCCCGCCCCCGCCGGCTGGCTGCCAGGCGAATCGCTTCCCGGAATGAGGGAATCCCCACCCTGGATACCAACACCCTCATCTCCTACACCCTTCTCCTCCAGCAGGTTCCCCTTCCCAGCGCCCCGATATATCAGGGATTCCTTAGTCCCCAGCGGGTCCCCCTTCCCAGCGCCCCGATATATTAGGGACCCCCATTCCTCCAGCGGGTCCCCCTTCCCAGCCCAGGCGAATCGCTTCCCGGAATGAGGGAATCCCCACCCTGGATACCAACACCCTCATCTCCTACACCCTTCTCCTCCAGCAGGTTCCCCTTCCCAGCGCCCCGATATATCAGGGATTCCTTAGTCCCCAGCGGGTCCCCCTTCCCAGCGCCCCGATATATTAGGGACCCCCATTCCTCCAGCGGGTCCCCCTTCCCAGCGCCCCGATATATCAGGGATTCCTCAGTCCCCAGCGGAACTCGTTTCCCAACATCCCTATAGCTCAGGGATCCACATTCCCCATAACGGGGTACCTCTTCCCAGCACCCCAAATATATTATGGGCCCCCGATTACCCATAGCGCGGTACCCCTCCCCAGCGACTCTATACTACCTCCAATGCAGTAATTTCTCGGGGACCCATCCCACACATGCAGCAAAGGGAAGGGAACCCCATTGACTCCCGTAGGTGGGAGTCTCCCAGCCTCCCCCCACCACGCCCGGACGGGGGGCTGTTTACCGACCGTGCTGCAAGGCTGTGTCCGTCCCCCACCCCTCTGCTTTCAGCACCCTGGACAGACACCGCGCGCCGCCTTTATACTCCTGGGCGTGCCCACGTGGCGTCAACGGCCCATTCATAAAATTGGAGGAAGGGGGGAGCCTCACGCATGCGCAGAGCTGTAACGGTAGGGGGAGGGCGGGCGCGCCCGAGTGCTATGGAAAGAATGAATGAATGAAAGGAGGCGAGGAGGGGCGCAGTGGGGGAGTGAGTGAATGAATGAAAGGATGAATGGGGGGGTCCCTTTACTAATGGGAAGGGTCCGGTAAAGAGCCATGGAGATAATGTACAGCCCCCCCTTCCAGGAGAAAAGGGCACAGGAGGGGCTGGGTAACGGGGCCCCTACCCCCCGAAATGAATTCGAGGTGTGTCGCAGCTACTGCAGTGTGTGCGCGGTGTGTGTGCGCGCGCGTGTGCTTAGAATGTGTGCTCGTCTGCGTGTCTGCTGTGTGCGCGAATGAAGATGGGATTGTGTGTGAGTGTAGAAATGAGTGTTTCTGCTTGATAGGATTTGTATGTTCAATATGTGTTTCGGAATATGTGTGCTGGGTGGGGTTTGTGTGTGTGCAGTGTGCGTGTGAAGGAACGTGTTTGTACTGGGCGTGTTTGTGTGTGTAGGAATGTGTGTTTGTGCTGAGTGGGGATTTCTGTGTGTGTAGGAATGTGTTAGTGCGGGGTATGGTTGCGTGGTGTATGTAGAAATATGTGTTTATGCTGGATGGGGTTGTGTGTGGTTGTTGCTGCTACATGTGCTGACTGTGATTGTGAGTGTTCATTGAGGGGGATTGTGGGTCTGACTGCAGTATGTGCGCTGAGACTGTGTGTGTGGCTGCAGGGTGCTGGCTGCGGTTGCATGTATGAGAGTGTGTGTACGTGATGAGGAGTGTCTCGCTGGAGGGAGTGCAAGTCTGTGCCTTTGTCTTTGGGCCTGAGGGGTTGTGCGGCTGCCTTTGTCCGTCTGTGTGTGTTGTGTGAGAGTTGGGAGGGGGTGCGCTGAGAAAAGGGTGGGTGGGTCCGGCCAGGAATGTGTATGTGTGTGTAGAATAGTGATAGAAATGTAGCCGTGTTAGTCTGGGGTAGCTGAAGCAAAATGCAGGACAAATCTTGTTAGTCTTTAAAGTGCTACATTGTCCTGCATTTTGCTATGTGTGTGTGTGTGATTGTCCCCTCTCTCCCCACCCATCTCCCCACACATCCTGTCTCTTCCCATGAACAAGCCCTTCTACCCATCCCCATCCACTCTCTCTCTCTCTAATCTGCGCGCTCGCACACACACACACACACACACACACACACACACACACACACACACCTCATGCCACTCATCATTAGCTGACCTTTCCCCGATCTCTGGTTTAACCCTAGTCCCCCATCCCAGGGGAGGGAAAGGGCAGAGCAGAGAGATTTTTGCATTTGCAGGCGGGGAGGGGGGCGGGCAGGATGAGTCACTAATTGCAGCAGCCGCTTTC